CTTGGGCGCTTCAGGGGAGGGAAGGCAAGGTGGGGGCCACAAACTATAATACCGCAGGCCGCAAATGGCCCCCGGGCTGCATGTTTGAGACCCCTGCTTTAGAGATTGCTCCCACAGCCAAAGCCTGAGTCTAGATTACGGAGAACTCCGCGTTTAAAGTTTTTGCAGGAGCTGATTGCGGAGAACTCCGTGTTTAAAGTTTTTGCAGTGAGGGCACGAGGAAGTTTGATGGGGCTCACCAAGGCAAAAAAAAAGGCATTAGCATGGCTGTCAGAGAGCAGGATCTTATTATTGCAAGCTACACAGCTTTTAAATGGGCCTGAAAATGCCATGAACCAAGAACCAGTTTTGAAAAGAAAACAATGGAGGGAGGGGGACCGCTTTGGCCCTAAGGCTGGAGTGTATCTTATTTTGCAAATAATAAGGATAATAATAATAAATACAGTTCAATACATTTCCTACTTTCATTTTCAGATTTTTCACAGAAGCAATGATCAAGGCTCTTAATGAGGCTGTTGAAAGAAACTGAAAGGAGAGCCTTGGTGCCAAGGTACATATACTGGGGGAGGGGTCTGTACTGATGTATTTTTTGCTACTGCAGAAGCTCTAGAATATTCTGACAAGACTCCATGCATGTGTGGATTACTCATAGTGTGATTCACAGAGGCCGCAAAGAACAAACCTATCTATTCTGAAGGAAATCAACCCTGAGTGCTCACTGGAAGAACAGATCCTGAAGCTGAGGCTCCAGTACTTTGGCCATCTCATGAGAAGACTCCCTGGAAAAGACCCTGATGTTGGGAAAGTGTGAAAGCAAGAGGAGAAGGGGACGACAGAGGATGAGATGGTTGGACAGTGTCATCGAAGCAACCAACATGAATTTGACCCAACTCCGGGAGACATTGGAAGACAGGAGGCTTGGAGTGCTCTGGTCCATGGGGTCACGAAGAGTTGGATACGACTTAACAACTAAACAACAAAGCTGGGGAATCTCTGAACAGATAATACATGTTGCTCAAGACTGAATTCAGGTCCCATTTCACTGCTTGCAATCCTCTTTTAAAAGAGGGGTACAAGTTCCAAAGTTGATCAATTATTTTCCTTCTCCTTTACAGTCAAGGTTGGTTTTTATTTCTTTTTTTAGTTTTCTTAGAAAAAGGTGATTTACATTTGGCCCATCCATAGATACTTGTAATAGTTTTGCAACTGATAAAGAAAACATGCCTTCTTGAAACTTCTGAAGAAGGTCTTCAGCAGTAGCGGTTCGAAGAAAAACACTGGTTAGATATTATGTGGAAACTTTATGACGGCAATCACCCCAAAAATGAACTAAATCCATCTGAAGCACCTTATTCAAAGCTTCATCAAAACAGATAACAAGTATTTGTCATTGTTTCAGCTGTTTCAGTAAAAGATCAGAGAAATATGGTACCAAGCCAAAAGCAACAACATGCATGGTTTTTGTTTTTCCGAGATGAAACTGTTGAGCTATCTGGCTATCTGAGAACATCTGCCTGAATAACAACAATATATGTTGTTACAAGAGTTAAATGACACCTTCATCACCAGTTGCAAAGCCCACAGGCAGGCTGCTGTCCTACCACAGGCAGCCATACTTGTTTGTGTGGTGGGTAATTCTTTGCCATTTTCATCACTCTGACCATGTTTTCCAGTTTTCACAGGGGCTGTCTCTTCACCCTCCCTAGCTTTACTATCTGAACTTGCACTTGGCTTTGAACCTAAACATATTGCGATGGACTGTTGCCTTGATTTAATTTTCAGGTTCTTCTGATATAATGGCACTTGTGCATGAGACTCCACAGATCTTATTCTGATATTACTTAATTCAAAGGTTGTGTAGTATACAATAACCTTTGCATTTTTCTCCAGCAACTGGTGATAGCCATGGAACAAAGTTAGGATGAAGTTTGAAATCCAGCTATTGCATATTAAAAACTCTCCTTTTATAAGCCATCTTCAAAATGTGGTTTCAGATACAGCCATACACAGAAGCACCTGCTTGACACCAAGATGTTAGCAGATTTGTTTTCTGGCAAGTAGGAACTTTCTAAAGCTGGGAAAGTTTTACTTTCACTTTTTGGAACCATGATGAGCAGATCAACAGCAAGAAAGAGGTGGAGTTTAAATACTTGCAGATCATTTCTACAATTTAGAGAAGCAGACAACCCTCATTTGCAACCTTTATGCATGGGAGAAGTCAAGGAAGAGGATGAGATAGCTGATACTCTGAAAATTCCAGCAGGAACAAGCAATCACATTTGAAAATTTTACTTTGCATGGTGTAGAGTAGAAAGTGCTAGTTGACTACGGAATCCAAGAGCAGCAACACTCATTTGCAGCTCGGTGCTGGGTTTAGCAGGAGACAAAGATTCTATTCCATACACAAGCTTGACCCAAAAACATGCTTTTATCTTTATATGTTAAGTTAAATGCAGTATTAGCAGGTAGGGATGAAAACAGATGTTTAAAGTTTGTATCCTGCTAAACATTTAAACTAGCCTTGCTTAGCAAATGCTACAGGCAAGGCCTTGGAAATCACGCAGGGACAGAGCTCAACAAACACATTAGGCTGGTTGCTGGGGATGGAGCTGAGAAAAAGGTGGAGCTCGGAAAGGGCATCATTAAGCTTTACTTGTATTCTGCTACTTCTCTATTACAGTTGCCACAAAAACAGATCATGCTCTTCCAGCAGCAGGTCAAAAGCCCACTGCTTGAATATATTTTAATCATAATTTCCTTAACTTCAGATCAAATTCCCTGACTTTCCCTGACAAATTTCTGTTTCCCTAACTTTCCAGAAAGTGGCAACCCTGTAATGGTTTTAGACAGACTCTGGGCTCTCTGTGTTACTGTTGTGGTGGATAGAAATAAACTGAGGTGAACAGGAGGGGCATGCACATTAGGTTACGGAGGATGATAATGCGCTAGCCATATAGGCTGTAGACCAGGCTTGTTCAATCTACGGCCTGTGGGCTGCATGCGGCCCAGGTTGGCTTGTAATGCGGCCCAGTGCAATTTTTTATTTTTTAAGATGCTGGGAATTGTAGTTCCTGGCAAGGGGAGGCGGCCGGCGACCATTTCCAAGCCAGGGCCTCCCTGGCAGCTCCACTCCGCCCCTCCCCACCCCGGGGGTGCCCGAAGCGCAAGGCCTGATGTAATTTCCGAGCAGCGCAGCCATGGGTGGGGCTGCCGTCAAGGTTGAGGAAACGAAACTCCAGCCAGGCATTAAATCCTGCAGCCGCCGCTTTCCAGGCACCCTGCAATGTTCCAGGCGCGCACACTTCTTCCGCGCCCCGCCACCCGACCGCGGAGCCTGTGCACGCAGGGCACCACCAGGTAAGCAGCGGAACACCTTTCCCCCTACCTACTCTCTCTCTCTCTCTCTCTTTTGATCTTGTTGACTGGCATGATCCAAGTACAGTAGTTGTTCGGGTCTTGGAGGCGAGTCTGCCCCCCACCCCCGGCCCCAACTCGCTTCACTCCCACCGCGCATGGGAATCCACCCAACACATGGAGCTCCTGTCGGCGCCAGGCAATCGCGGTGAGCTCACAGTTTGGGAACAAGGGGGGGTTGCCTGGAGGGGGGAAAGCAACCTCACAAAGTTTGGGGCCACTTTTCCCAGTGTGTGTGTGTATGTGTGTGTGTGTTGGGTGTGGGGGGGGCAGAGGCGGGATGGATGATCCGGGCGAAGGCTGGCCGGGCTGGGCTTTCCAGGGTGCACCCAGAGGTCCCTCTCGGGGGAAGGAGCGCACGACCGCCGTCCCCTGGCTTTCTAGTGGGAAAGGATACCTTTTTGGAGGAGGAAAACCGCTTTGGGAGGGAAGGAAGCAAGAGGCGGGCAGGATGGATGGAGCGGGAAAACGGGGGGGGGGATGAGAGAGGCTCTTGGAAGGAGGTACCCCCCAAAACCACCTGAGAGAGGATGGGTTGGTTTGGGGACGCACGCCCATTGGGAAAATGTGGCCTTGACCCAGGAGGGGGGCTCTCGAAAAAGCACCTTTTGGAGGAGGGGACCTTTGGAGAGGAAGGAGGCATTGGAGAGCACCCCCCAAAGGTTGAGGAAACCTCCTCCCTTACCATGATCATCATCCTTGGTTTGGTTGAGTTGCTGTTGGTGTGATCCCCAAGCAGAGGCTAAGAAAGTTGATGCAGTGGGATTACAACTCCCAAATTCCCCAGCAGCTGCTGTGGGTCTCTCTATCTCTCTCTCTCTCTCTATCTCTCTCTCTCTCTGTATGTGTGTGTGTGTGTGACATTGCAGAAGCTAGGAAACAAAATCTAAAACCACCACATAAACAAGAAATGAATGCTGAAGTCCTGTGGAACAAACATTTCTCTTGATATATGCTTATCTCAAACCTGATCATGGCTTTATATTTTCTTATTTAGGAAGATTAGGGAAATCTTTCTGCTAGTGACTGAGAGGACTACACATTGATTTTAATTAAAATGAATTAAAAATAATTATCCTGGGGGAAATATTGAAGTCACATATCCCTCGGCTGCAAGGATCCAAACCATGTTTCAAGTGTCTATATTTAACTTTCTTGGAGCTATGGTGGATGAATCTGCATTATTCTAAATGGTGCATAATGCCATGACAAATATAAGGGGAAGGTTATTTTTCATCTTTTTGATTCACAGTAATAATAATCTTCAGATGGCCAAAAACTATGATTGCACAAGTTGTACGAACTCTATGTCAGTCTGCATTCCTGATGTACAGGATAAACAACACTAGTCTAGATATTATTAAACAGAGCTTCTCATACACTTTCCCATAGTTTTGGGAACTTATAGACAAATCACAAAAAAAGCTATGGCTTTATTCCATATTCATTCCTTTGATCCTGAGAAGAACATAGTGGAGAGTCACTAGTTCATACTATTGTCTGTTCTGTTTAATTTTGTTTTAAAAGAGTAGGATTACATCAATCAAAGATCCATTACATTTATCTGTACAGTGTTGGTAACTTACAAAGAAACCAGGCATGCCGGCAGGCCCTGGGCTTCCCTGCTGACCTGGATCCCCTGTGGTCCCATTGCAGCCATCATAGCCTGGTTTCCCCCTTGATCCTCCTTGACCTGGATGTCCCTGTGGAGATTAAAATAAACACAAGTATGTTCATCTGGCATCTGTTTTTGGTTTCTTCTTCCTGCTCTTCATACCACTCTTGAAATGTTCTCACCATCAACCCAAGCAAGAATTACATGAGAAACTGGAGAGAAAGAGAAAAAGTAATTCATAATTATACCACTGTAGTTCAAACCAGATGTCCCAGAGAACATATAAAAATCAGTGAGAGAAAAAGAAATTTGGTCACATTCACAATCACCAGGCTAGGAGAAATGGAGAATGTCACTGACTGGAAAATTTATGACAGCTTGGCCTTTCTTTCTTTTTCTTTCTTTCTTTCTTTAAGAACTTAAGAAACTACAGAGACCCAGTGTAATTATGCCATCAAGTGACACTAGAAGAACCTATCCACAACTGCATGCATCCAGTAGCCTAAATCCTCTTAGTTATGACAACCAGTACAACACAACTAGCATAAATATTGCTGGCACATTGCTACAAGATAAGAAGTTAGCATAGATGTTTGCTGTTGTGCACCCAGGTGTGCAACTTGGTATATATAAATAATTGCCTACACTAACTTTTTAACTTGCATCAATCTGCCAATAAGATTTGTACCAATTGTATCATACCAGTATAAAAACTCAATAGGATTTTGGCCAGAGCCTCTTTAAAGCCAGGACACCTTGTCTAGGAATACACTGTGAACATTCTACACAGGTGCTCTGATAGAATACTAATAACGAATTAGTGGTGGTGGCCAAATTAGTTTAAACTACATGTTTGCCATGTGCTTTATATCTACGAAAAGTGTGAGAACATCAGTTAAATATGATTCCATATTTTTAAACTACTGAGATTGGTGGACTTTTTTTAGCAAATGCACCACAGGTAAAACCCAAATCATGGGAGGTTATCACTCCATCACAAACACAACCTCCTATCCACAGACACCTTAGGTGTGGTTTGTCTTTCTTCTCTTCCTTTCCTCCTGCAAAGCATAGGAGAAGCAGGCAGGAACACAGTCCTGACTAATCATATCCATCTGTTCTCCTGCCCAAACTGCTGGTGTCTGGGGAACCTGTAGCACTCATGCTGCTTACTGGACACTCAAATCCCAGCAAGTAATAAGAAAAAAAAGAGTGAGCCCCCATTCTAGCCATATGAGATTTATCCTTCTGTTGCCCACATTGGTGTTATCTCAACTATGAAGAGATAAACAGAAGCAGGAGAGGGTCAGGTATAAGTTATTTCCAGAGAGCTTTTTATGGCCACATAGGCATAGAGAGTGAATGCAAAATGTGGCACTTGTGATTAGCACTTTCCCCTTAATTCATTTCAAAAAATCGGTTATCTTCCAACCTTTCTTCTAGGCTATGACAGCTAAGCATCATAGGATTGTCAATGTTATGTCTCTCCTGATTCAAATCATATCCAATGTTTCAGTCATCTCAGCACCTGTTTAGCAGTACAGAGTCTACAGAGATCTTCTACCACCTTACAACTGTTTCCCCAGGAGGTCGTAGTGCAACCACACAAGAAAAAGAATACCTTGTTAACAATAGCTGAGGATGTAATAGCTCTGCCTCCCTGTTTGATGAGGAACTAAAATCAAGGTTGCTGGTGTAGTGACCTGCCCCCATCCATACACTCAAGTGTTAAACTACTATAGAAAAATTAACTGTGTGTTTTGGGTATATGTGTGGAAATGAGAAACCTGCATTTAGACAGTCATAAGGGGTAACTGCATTCATTTTTTTCTCATAACATTGTATACCACCTGACAAAAAGCCTATCTGTAATTCCCACATAAGAATTTATATATACGTAGTATTCTTCTTACACACTTTCAGTGTAAAAATGTTTGCACATTACAATGTTTCTGTGTTACTAAATAGTTATATTATTCAATAACTGCATTTACTTCTGTGAAACCAAATCCTATAGAAGCCAATGCTCTGCATGTGTTGGTTTTGATTCTGAACATTAAACAGAGGATGGGTGAATGAGACAACAATCTAAAGGCTGACATCTGCTGCTTCTTTATATTTTGTGCAAATAGGAAATAGAAAATATTTAACTAGTGTCAATGGGTTTTGCAGTGAGAGACAGTTCTTTGCAGAGAGAGACAGATTATATAAATTGCCCCTGCATAAAGCAAAATTTGTCACCAGCAGGGGAAGATTGTCAGTAATACAAAAGTTCCTGCTTCAATCTCACAGTGCCCAATCTTTCTGCAGTTGGCCTCTTTGTGCACAAGTCAGGCAAGGCATGGAATGGAAGCAGGAACTTTCTAATGTGCCACTGCCAGTAATGTCATCCAGCAGGGACATACTCCTAATAAGTGAAGAGTTCCTGCTTCCATCTGAGGGCTCACCTGATTTGCATGCATCAAGACTGATTAGATAGAAGTCAGGAAGCCCTGTGATTGAAACAAGAACTCTTTATTTACAGGCAGTCTCCTGCTGCTGCTGATGTCACAACTCTCCTGCAGGCATAACTTATGGGAGAGGATTTTATTTATTATTTATTCATTTAAAATATTTTTACTCCAACTTCTTCATTGAAAGGACCCAAAGCAGCTTACAAACAATGAAAGACAATATTTAAAGTTGAAAATAATGAGTATACAACAGTGGTTAACATCACTAAAAGACAATATTTAAAACTATGAACAATTAATAAGGAGGCATCTTACAACATTAATAGGCAATATTAAGGCAAAGCTCAGTAAGTATACAAAAAAGTCACTCTGAAAAATGGAAAACACAAAAATGGAAAACACAAGTAGTACTAAAAATCCAATCAAAGCAATACTGTAGCTCTGTGAATGTAATCCCATCCAGTACTGGCTGCATCCCTATTCCTTGATCTGCTTTTCAGCTGACCAGGAGCACTTCTGTCTTATCCGGCTTAGGTTTCAGTTTGTTCACTCTCATCCATTCCATTACTGACACCAGACACTGATCTAGAACCAAAGTAGCTTCCTTGGGTTTAGGTGGCAAGGAGAGGTAGAAATGGATGTTACCCGCATACTGGTGACACTGAACTGCAAAACTCCAGATAATCTCTCCCAGTGATTTCATATAGATGTTAAATAACACAGGAGACAAAACAGAACCCTGAGGGACTCCACAGGTCAGTGGCTACCATTTTGAAAAGCACTACCTTCTGAGTTCTCTCCTCCAGGAAGGACTGGAGCCACCAAAAAATAGTGCTCCCAAATTCCATTCCAGAGAGACAGGTCAGGAGGATACAGTGGTCATTACATTTATCAGAAGAAATGGGCTGTAATCCAAGAAAGCTCATGCTGAAATAATATTTTAGTCATAAAGGCCCCACAAAGCTTGCTTTTTGTTGTTGCTGAAACAGAGTAACATGCCTATCTCCCTAAAAACTGTTGCAGTGATTTGTTCACCATTAAAGGCCCAGCTATCTGTCTATTTGTGAGACTGTGCAGGGGCAGGCAGACAAGAAAGAGGGCCTTTTTGGTGATGGTGCCAACTTTGTGGAACACTCTCCTAGGAGAAATCCATTGGTCGCCCTTTTGTCTCTCCGCAGGGACACGAGCAAAAAAATAATTCATTCCAGTCAGTTTTAACATAGGATCTGCTGCCTTACATCATTAGCATTTAGTTTCATACTAGTGTTGAGATGCTAACGATGTAAGGCAGCAGATCCTATGTTAAAACTGACTGGAATGAATTTTTTTTGCTTGTGTCCCTGCAGAGAGACAAAGGGGAGCCCAAAGGATTTCTCCTAGGAGAGTGTTCCACAAGGTTGGCACCATCACCAAAAAGCATTTAGTTTCATACTAGTGCTGAGATCTCCTTCATGGATTGCTGCCTTGTCGTGGCGAAGGGGCTTGAGTAACTCAGTGAAGCTATGGGCTATGCCGTGCAGAAACACCCAAGACGGACAGGTCATAGTAGAGAGTTACGACTAAATGCAATTCACCTGGAGTAGGAAATGGCAATGCCACTTCAGTATCTTTGCCAAGAAAGCCCCATGACCAGAAACAAAAGGCTAAAAGATATGACACTGGAAGATGGGACCCTCAGGTCGGAAGGCATCCAACATTCTACTGAGGAAGAGTGAAGGACAAGTACAGGTAGCTCCAGAGCTAATGCTCAGCTGTGGATGTGCCTGGAAGTAAAAGGAAAGTCCAATGCTGCAAAGAAAAATACTGCATAGGAACCTGGAATGTAAGATCTATGAACCTTGGGAAGCTGGATGTGGTCAAACAGGAGATGGCAAGAATAAACATTGACATCCTGGGCGTCAGTGAACTAAAATGGACGGGAATGGGTGAATTCAATTCAGATGAGTATCAGATCTACTATTGTGAGCAAGAAGCCCGTAGAAGGAATGGAGTAGCCCTCATAGTCAACAAAAGAGTGTGAAAAGCTGCACTGGGATATAATCTCAAAAATGATAGAATGATGTCAATACGAATCCAAGGCAGACCTTTCAACATCACAATAATCCAAGTTTATGTACCAACCGCCAGTGCTGAGGAGACTGAAATGGACCAATTCTATGAAGACTTACAACACCTTCTAAAACTGACACCAAAGAAAGATGTTCTTCTCATTTTAGGGGATTGGAATGCTAAAGTAGGGAGTCAAGAGATAAAAGGAACAACAGGAAAGTTTGGCCTTGGAGTTCAGAATGAAGCAGGGCAAAGGCTAATAAATTTTTGTCAAGAGAACAAGCTGGTCATCGCTAACACTATTTTCCAACAACACAAGAGGTGACTCTACACATGAAAATCACCAGATGGGCAATACCGTAATCAGATTGATTATATTCTCTACAGCCAAAGGTGGAGAAGCTCTATACAGTCAGCAAAAACAAGACCTGGTGCTGATTGTGGTTCTGATTATCAGCTTCCGATAGCAAAATTCAAGTTTAAACTGAAGGGAGTAGGAAAAACTATTATACCTGAGCTTGTCAGGTATAATCTAAACCAAATCCCTCATGAATACACAGTGGAAGTGAAGAACAGATTTAAAGAACTAGATTTGGTGGACAGAGTGCCTGAAGAACTATGGACGGAGGCCCGTAACATTGTACAGGAGGCAGCAACAAAAACCATCCCAAAGAAAAGGAAGTGCAAGAAAGCAAAGTGGCTGTCCAACTAGGCCTTATATATAGCAGAAAAGAGGAGGGAAACAAAATGCAAGGGAGATAACAAGGAGAGACTAGAGACCAAATTGCTAACATGCACTGGATTATAGAGAAAGCTAGAGAGTTCCAGAAAAACATCTACTTCTGCTTCATTGACTATGCAAAAGCCTTTGACTGTGTGGACCACAGTAAACTATGGCAAGTTCTTAAAGAAATGGGAGTGCCTGACCACCTTATCTACCTCCTGAGAAACCTATATGTGGGACAGGAAGCAACAATTAGAACTGGATATGGGACAAATGATTGGTTGAAAATTGGGAAAGGAGTACGACAAGGCTGTATATTTTCTCCCTCCTTATTTAACTTTTATGCAGAATACATCATGTGAAAGGCTGGACTGGATGAATCC